AAAACGAAAAGAGAACTAGATAATATGAAAAAGAATGCAATACTGTCACGAAAATTCTCGTATGTTTTATTAGCTCTCGGTTTCAGTACAGTAAATGGCCACTGTTTAGTAAGAATAAGTCAAGAGTTTGATCTTGTGCCAGGGCCATCAGAGAAGAGGCTTCCCTTGATTAGTTCATATTTTCCATACAATTATAAATTGAGTCCAGTTTATGAAATTACATGGTTTTTTCAATATGTAGGTGCAAGTCTTGCGACCATTACTTACGCAGGTCTTTACTGCCTATTTGTTAGTTTGGTATTACATTTACAAGGCCAAATTACCAATTTAAGATACAATTTAGAAAATTTACAAGCTTCGTCAGGAGATAATGAAGAGATGAATGGTGTTGAGTTGAGAAATGCGATTAAATATGTTATTAAAAGACATGTTAGACTTAATAGGTTTGTTTATTTTTATCTATATAATGATTTATAAATAATTGTATTATCTTTATAAAATTAATGTATGTATTGTTCAAATTTTTGATAGCTGAAAATTTATAGTTTTATTAATTTTAATATAATTTTTCTAAATTGTAAAAACCTATATTTAGAAATGTGACACCGCAAAATATGTAAGAGAATAACACAATTGAATATTTTTTCTGAATGTTTAAATATTAGATTTTATTTTCAACACCATGTAAATATAATTTCATATCTCAATAGTGTCTAAAACAATTTTTCGTAATGATATATTTGAAAAATATGAATTTATTTGCTAAAACTTAATTTACAAGAACAATAATGTTTTAATTTAATATCATATTTAGTCATTATAATCATATTTAGTTTAGATATAAATTTTATTTTTTGTATTATTTTAATATATTTTAGAACATATTTATTAATCGATATGTATATATATATATATATATATATTGCATATATAAATATAAATTATAATATAATTTAATACCCTACAGTTTTTTAAACGTATATTTTAAGTAATGTAATTGGTTATTCAATATTTTTCAATAATTCTGTTTAATTCTGAATAATTTTTCAATCAATGAATGCTTCAATAATGCTAATTTATACAAATCCGTTAAGATTTGCAGCAGG